CACTTCGTCAAACTGCCAGCATTTGTTCCGCCTGCGTGATGCTTGGTGTTATCAATACGATGTCATCAGCAAAGCGAAGGTGGTGTAGTTGCCGGCCGTCGACTTTCACTCCCATGTTGTCCCATTCCAACTTACGCATGACGTTCTCCAGAGCGGCACTGAATAGTTTCGGCGATATAATATCGCCTTGTCGCACGCCTCTCTTCACGTCAATGATGATGTTCTTGTAGAATGGTGTTATGGTGGTTGTGAAGTCGTTCTACAGCTCACGAATTATCTTGATGTAATGAGTCGGAATACCTTGATTGCTCAAGGCATCGATGACGGCTTCAGTCTCAACCGAGTCAAAGGCCTTCTTCAAGTCGATGAAGGTGAGACAGAGCGGCATCTTATACTCTCGTGACACTTTAATGAGCCTTGACACCGTGTGTATGTGGTCGATCGTGCTGAATCCTCTTCGAAACCCAGCTTGCTCGCATGGTTGTCCTTCGTCCAACTCTCTTCCGATCCTGTTGAGAATGACTCGCGTAAAGAGTTTGTAGACTACAGACAACAAGCAGATAGGGCGATAATTGCCGATGTCGCAGGGATCTCCCTTCTTGTACAGCAACACGGTTTTGCTGGTCTTCCATTGCCTTGGAACCTTGCCTTCCGTCAGGTACCGCGTGAAGAGCCTTGCCAAAGTCTTGATGAGAACTGGCGAAAGATTCTTCAGATGTTCTGGCTTAATCCTGTCGGGACCGGGTGCTGTACGGTTTTTCATCGACATGATAGCATAACGAATCTCGGAAGGAAGAACAGACGGTGCGACATACTCGTCCTCTTGAGATGGCATGGTGGAAGGTGGACGTGACTCGCAAAAAGATCCGAGTAGAAGTCGTGGATGACCTTCTCCATTGATCTGCGGGAAGCAGTTATGGTTCCGTCAGGACGACGAAGTGCGGTCATCTTTGTCTTGAAGTTGACGAAGCTTCGGCGGGCGTTGCGTATGCTTCTTCCAGCCTCCGCGGCGTCAACCATCACTGCTACTCTTCTCTCCTTAAGGTCTTTTTTTATTGCTTCTCTGCATCGCTTCGCAAGCTCGGACGTCAGTCGGCAGTTGCCTGTGGCTCGTGCGCGTCCACGTTGGCGTATCAGCTCCAAAGTCCCCGTGGTAAGACGCCTTCTCGTACTTCTTAGACTCTGAGCTTCCTTGGCACAACCGTGGAGATGTTGTACGAACCGTTCGTATTCTTCGTCGATGTTGTCCATCACGGTATCTCGCCATGAGCCGGATATCGAAGAAAACAGATCCCAGTTGGTGGTATTCATGGGACGATATTTCCTGAACTTGACGGCTCTCTCTCCATTCCGCGGAAAGTAGAATTTGGCGCGCAGGAGACGATGATCTGATCCCGTGTAGAACTTCGGAACAATAGCGACGTCCGTCAGGCAGTACCTTCTGTTGACGATGATGTGGTCAATCTCGTTATGGTACTCTCCACCGGGCGATTCCCAGGTCCAGCGTAGGGAAGAGGGCTTTTGGAACTGTGAGTTTCCATGGATAGTCCTCGTAGTCATGATAAACTCGGACAGTCTCTCCCCTTGTTCGTTCCACTGCAAACCATGGGTTCCGATGTGAAGTTCCTCAGTCGACCTTCTAGTTCCGATCTTCGCGTTGAAATCACCGACGATGATCTTTTAGAAGGTATGATCTTCTCTGTAGAACTTCTCCAAGTCCATATAAAATTCCTCGAGTTCGTCCTCGTCGTAGCTGGATGTTGGGGCGTACGCAATGAAGACGGTCAAGGCAGGGATTGATCCACATCTTGATATTCGCAAACGTCCGATTCGAGTTGTAAGTTGTTCGAACGAATCGATGTTCATGGCCAAACTCGTGTTGACAAGGACTCCCACTCCACCTACTCCTCGACTGTCGCATGTTCCTAGAAACAGTTCTTCTCCAGTCTCAAATGTGGCGTTCAGCGGGTGGTGCCTCCTTGTCTCGGTCAGTCCGATGACGTCGTACTTAATCTTCCTCGCTTGCATCATGAGATCTTCGATAGATGCGTCCGATGCCAGCGTCCTCGCGTTGTAAGTACAGATCGTCATCATAGTCCGTCTCGTTTTCGGCAGCCTAGATCGCCTTTCAAACCTTGTCCCCACTGGCGCTGCCTTACCATTGGCTCTTTCAAGATTAAAGGAGCTTTCCATATTATCACTGTGTCGAACAAGAATTTACTCGCAGGGATAGCTTGTTGGGTTCAAAACCCCCTCGAGGGACGATCGGAGCTTATTTGTTGGAGGCGACTCCGAACTCGCCTCCCCACACACCTACCCGGGAAATTAGGGCGCAAGCTTTTAGTGGAGGCAGGGAGTCCGTCCCCCGGCTCCGCTTGCTTATCAGAGCAGGCGCGGGGTCGCTTTTGGTCGGCGATTATCCCCCTATCCGCCACCTGGGGACGCCCCACGTAGCCTCGCGACTAACCGGCTGTGATCCCTCTATGAGGGAGATCCGTGGGCAATAATTGTAATTAGCAAAATACTTTTTTGTAATTGTAGTCGCTTTGGTAGCCCGAAAACCGTCGAAAATTTTTTTGGAGGGCTCGAAAGGGCATAACTTGCTCACAAATGTGGATGGATGGCACAAGCCTTGCTCATTGTATAGCTGATGGCTGATTAGACAGTGGAGTAAAACTTTGGTTCTATGTGAATTTCTGTGAAAATTGGAAGTCCCCATGTTTCTCTACATATCAGAGAAGGCAAAGAACGGTGCTTTCTATACTTTTCTTCTTTTCTTTTTCTCCTTGAGAAGCAAGGAAATCCTGCCGTCTTCTTATCAATAGTTGTACTAGGCCTACTCCACCTGCGATTTTCAAAAATCTACCATAACTTTTTCTTTTTACATGTGGTATAGTCAAACTTGGCAATATTGAGACTGTGATGTGAACTACAAATGCAGCGCATTTTGCTCTGTATTTTGGCAAAATAAGAGTTACGATAGTGTACGGTAAAAAGGAAAAAAATCACGGATCAGATTGCTACGGTTCCACCTGAAATTTGGCGGGGGAAGGGAGGGGGGGGGGGAGGGAGGTCTCGATACGTTGATCGCGAAAATCTTGCTCAAAATCTTGCACTAAATGCCTTCCTGTTAATTAAAAATTAAAAACCCCGAAAAGGACTGATTTTGGCTGGTGCATCTATGTTTCTCGGCTTCCAGAGCGCGTGCCATCATTGCGTTCCGGGACCAAGGGCTCGGCTTTCCGCTCAGATGTTTGAGGAGCTCTTGCGATGTATAGGTGATTTTTCGCTTCAAAACGGTGATTATCTGGTGCTCAATAGTTTTACTGCTTGGGTGGGAAAACTGCACAAAACAGGAGCACATTGAAACTACCAGAAATAGGTGATTTTCTTCATTCCAAGATCAAAACCTACAAAGAATGATAAGTATCTTCACGTACTTAAGAGTTGGTCCTCTGAAGGCCAAAGTTCAAGGAGAGTTTGAGGGTAGATATAAGTGGCCTAGAATCCCTTTCTTATTAGTTTCGACCATGCAAGGAAACATGTTCTGACGAAGCTTGGTATACAAAAGAGGTTGGATTACACGATGAATTTTTCGTAGCTCCTGTTCCAGAACAGTAGAAGATTCCAATAGTGACTTCCATTTTTGTGAATTAATGAGCACATTCAATGAAAACGGTCACAAATGCGATGCTGATTCTGTTTTGGGCAAGGTTTTGATCTTTGAATGAAGAAAATAACCTATTTCTGGTAGTTCCAATGTGCTCCTGTTTTGTGCAGTTTTCCCACCCAAGCAGTAAAACTATTGAGCACCAGATAATCACCGTATTGAAGCGAAAATCACTTATACATCGCAAGAGCTCCTCAATCTGAGCGGAAAGCCGAGCCCTTGGTCCCGGAACGCAATGATGGCACGCGCGCGACCGCCCGCGCAGCCGGTTAAGTAGATTTAGATGGCGCCGCACGATGTCACCTTTCCACTTATGCTCCGCCCTATGTTTTAACTGTTTCGTTTGTGTAACTTGTTTATAGATGAGAAAATCCGCTACTTTCTCTTTTTGGAAAGTTTTATGTTTGAATTTAGTCGGATTATTGAATGGCGCGTGCGTTAGAGTATTGTCTTATCACTGTAAGATCATTTTTCAAGGTTTGAACGGTCGCCGGGAGTAAGGAATCTAGACTGGAGGGGAGGTATGGCCGAGAGGCTCTCGTTTGCTAGGGTGTTCTTGGGCCAGATTAGCGATTTCGTACAAGCAGCCCCAGTTCGTTTGAGTGGATAGGGATCGCTGAGTACATCTAAACTCACTCAGTCTCATTGAAAACCTTGTAAGACTAGCTAATTGCTATTCGCACGACATCCCTTCATGAGCATGAAGCTCGATATCGCGCGATGTACACAATTTCATCTCCATCCGCAAGTAAATTCACCAGCTTCGAACTGACTCTATGAGGTATAGAAACCTAAACTCGAGCACATTATAGTTTATAAACGAACCCATGGACTGTTGCTCAACTCTCCTCACTGATCACATCTTCCAAAGTGTGATCGAGGAACCATTTTTCCTCAGGCATTTGCTATAGCAGTACCAAAGATTGAATACTTCTCAAGCAGTTCAATGGTTTTCTTTCGAAGTGTTCAGACTGGCTAGATACTAAAGACGATAGATATGTGCGAACTAATACCAAAGCAACAAAATCAATCTTCATGCACAGATTATGGGTTGCAATACAGATTTACAGATAAAAATTGATAAATTACAAATGCAATCGAGGTATCACATGAGATTAAGAGAACTTTTCATAGTATCTGGAGCAATCAACAATTGGTTGGAAAGAAAGATACATAAAATGAAAGCTATACTACAAGAAAAATGAGCTGCAGTAGCACAAAAAACTTTCAAAATAAAACATTCGGTAGTACGACAGGGCAGTACGGCAGTACTTTCAGATTCTTGGACCTGCTGTTTGCAAGTTCAGCAGATGTGCACAACTTTCACCAGCTATGATTCGCTGGCAATACCGACAGCACTGCACATATATTACAACCAAAGTTGACCTAAGATGAAAATTCGATGAAGGTTTAGAGTCCTCTCTAGAGTCAGAACTACTCACCAGATTGCCATCATTTTATCCATATGTCGTTGTGCGAGATGCACTCTCACTGCCTCATGCTGCGATAGGAGTATACTCTAAAAGAGTTAAATAAGTAGATAAATAAAGAGAGAAAGCGAAATATAGTATCTATAAAAGTGTGTTGTACTTTAGTTTCTACGAGATGGTTTGGGTTAGGGGTCTACAAGTCTGTAGTTGGCTTAAAAGTTGCTCTGTATCTATCATCCTATTTGCATCTTATATGAGCTAGTCAAAATCTCTGGAAACTGTCTCAATGACAGCATCACAGCTTCAGAGCCCGGACCTTAATGACACTTCCTGCTGCCGCACCGTGCCATACAAGACTGTATACAGATGCTTCCGGAACAAATGGAGGCAAGCAATAGCAAATGATTTTCTCTTATAGCAAACTCCACAGTTAACAGAGAGTGTTTCACAGCGATATCTACGAAATGATCAAGATGTAAAGAACGAAATCACCTCGTCTGCATGCTTGATAGCACCATCAAGCATGCACACCTTTGAATTGCATCGAACATCGTCCTAAGTTTCCATTTCGATTCAAAGCCTCGCGATGCGCAAATCTATTTCCACAGGCTCAACATACCAAGACATGACTGGATTGCAGATGATCTCCATCATTGTTTGAGTGCACGTTGATGGGCACAGAATTTGCAACGCAGCCATCCATGCACTAAAAGACACGAGCATGTTTTGCGTACATTTGATTAGCGGGTCTACGAGTGTGTTCAACCCGTTCTGGTATATTACTATTGAGAATTCGTGAAAGAACTTGTTCGAGCTTATCAAACAACCTTGAACATATTCCTTCATGAACTCTTAATAGTAATTTACCAAAACGCGTTAGAACATACACAAAAACTTCTTTATCGGACATACGCAAAGCGTGCTCGTGACTCTTAATCAGAGAATCATGCCTATATAATATGTGATATTTGGCTTGCTGTAGCAAACATTATTAGGTAGAATGTAAAACTGTAAAAAAAAAATGGGAAAGCATCCAAACCAAACTACTGAGAACTTTATAATCTCTAGTCACGTTGACCGATACGAAAGGCTTTATGTACTGATTGATTCCCTGAGTCAATGAGAAGCTGAATTGTAAGCCGGAGAATCATCTCTGATGGGCCATCGTTCAAAATAAAAGCAGTACGTCGAGCCATGATGGAGTGCTCTGGTTAGGAGTCCCACTCTCCTTCGAATCCTTTCTAATCACCTTGATTCCTCTGTAAATGGAATTGCATGCTAGCAGCTTGAGAGGAGAAACTTGAGGTATACCTCTTAGCAAGATTCAGCTGCATTTCGAAATGCGATCTTGGCTGATGCCAAATCGCAGTCATGCCGCATTAACAGTGTCGGAGCTACGACAGTCCTAGTATATCTCGCAGCCATATCCTGGAGACTGGCATCTGTAAGCGACACGTAAAGCAGATAAATTGATGAACAGCCGGCTTCCCGGTCCCAACGAATTGTTTGTTGAAATTAGCTCGACAGTGAGTAAAATACGACATCAATTCGTTAGAATAATAATTTACTCACTACTTTCTGGCGTCATTCCAAGCTGAGCAAACATGCAATTTTTAAGAGTTTTAAGCTGGGTTGAGGATGAAATGAGACGGGGAGAGTTGAGTGCTAGCAAACTGATTATGACATCCTACAACAAAAGCAAGCAAAGAAAATCCAACTAACATGATTGTTGTGGGACGCGCAACAAAATTAAGTCGACAACAGTATGTAGAGTCTCGCAATATCTGCAACAGTCATGAGAGAAAACATTTTTAGGTGTGAAGAAAGTATTACAAAACCAGTAAGGCAAAAAAATAAATGAATGTGGGCGATACCTTATAAGACTATGATAGAAAATTTATGCGCCATAACACTAGTCAGTAGATGCACTCACCTCGCGTGACATCAACGACGTGACTGTTCCGGGATCTTAGACGTACACACGTCCATATATAGCTGAAACCTATAGAATATTTTCTGAGTGGTAAGGATACAATATCAAAGTATCTAAAAGGAGAACAGAAAATCTATGCTGCGAACATCAATTCATGTATATTTTACGCCTATGCGGCACCAAATGACTAGCGCTTTCGTCTAATGCAGCGCACGGGAAGTGCAGGAGTCACGAAATTCGCGGGATAACAAGAAGGCAGAAACAGCAGGAAGAGTAGGACCATCCCGTTGCGAATTTAGGAGTGCGAAAACAGTGGTCATGATTGAAGACAGCGGATTTCCACACGTCATATGGACAGCACACGATCTCGACAGATCGTGCGCTGCTACACGATCTTGTGGCAAGATCGTGTGCTTGAATACATCGCGAGATCGTGTGCTCGCACCTGATCATGGGCATGTTTGCAACGTTAGCGAGCACACGATCTCACGATCGTGCGATTGATACATAGCGCCCCAGGTCAGGAAATGGAGGCAGTGTCCGTGCATATAAGACGATAACGAGAAAAACGTAGACTGCTGTAGCGCCTAACTGCTAAAGCTTTTGCCTCGGTGGCATCGCACCATTGCTTCCAAAACGAGTAAATAACAGCTTCAAAAGCTTTGATGTAGACACCTTTTTAAGTGTGAGTCTCTCGTGCCTGCCCAGCCAGTGAATAACTGCAGACACAGTGCGCATATGGTAAGGGCGAGTCGCCGAAAGGAGAAGTCCCGCAGACATCTGCAACAAACTTGCATCTCTACGCATGACACATAGATAGCTGCACCGTGCTGACTGCCTGCGAAGTGTGGAGTCTAATGGCAACAAGTCTTCTCTTCCCTGCGCATATCGCACACAGCTATGAGCGTAGGGCTTCAGAGCAACTCCGCGGAGAGACGGTCCTTTTTGCACCGCTAGCCTGAAGCCTAAAGGCTGCTGCATGACGAAGGCGCAGAAGCGGTATCAGTTGAGCGTGCGCGAACGCTGCACGCGCGTATCCTCATCGTTGCAGACCCTGCGCCTCATGCGCTTTGCGGCTAATAAAGCCGCGATCGCGCCCAAAGGTATTGCGCCTTCGTCATGCAGCAGCCTTTGTTCACATCGCGCCTTTGTGGTCGGCGCTGCCACCGTGATTGCGCAAGGATAGAACTAGAATTTATAGACGCAGGCCGCTGAATTGGACTAGTTGAGCAAAAGCTCCTTTTAAAAGAGCAAAAATCAAAAAAGATTTCGAGTTTATTTTGGTTTATTGGTTTATTTCGATGTAGGGTCGTCAAATTCAGCTCGAACGAGCTGCAATCGTCAAATAGAAAACTTACATTTGAAAGGTCATTCGGAATGATTGAAATCACTTGATTATCACCAAGGTACACACACTCAGCAAACCTAGAAAGCGTTAATAAAGGTGAAGATATTTGGAGTTTGAAGGAGTTTGAACCATGCAGTGAATTCAAAAGGCAGCGTCCTTGCCTTCCACGTTTTTGTCATCTTGGGGTTTTTCCGTGCTTTTGATTACATTTATGAAGTTCAATTATCCAAGATTCTAGAAGAAAAAACTCTGAGGACACTCTCTTAAATGAGCGAGCCAGTTTTGGATTGCTCGTTCCCTGATGCCTGCGGAAAGACCTGCAACTGCGTAAGTGCGTATGCAGCGTGCAGATTCTGTTCACTACCATGTCACTACGTGTCGGGAAGCAGTCCCTGGCTGGGTGGAGTTTGATAGGATTTGGGTGTGGTTTGATAGCACTTTCGCTGTCCCAAGCCCACTATCTCCATTCGGGAACAACATTAGAGAACCACACCAAACATGCCCCTCTCCTGGGGTCTACATTCAGGAACAAATGACAGTAATTGGCGAAAGTTAGCTTTAGTCTGGAGACTGCCTTCAACATGTTGACGACCGAGCCATTTTGACCACATCAAAATAGAGTGAACATCTGAATCTGCGGTTTAGATGTCTAGTCCTGAGCAGCCACCGCGATGCCCTGCGTTCTATATAATCATTAGACCACCGGTTTATTACTGCATAGAAGTTACCTTGAAACGTTTCGTTTGCACACTAATAACTGACGCAAGGAAGTGCTGAACGAGAGTTAGGGCTTGCATACGCGCGCATGCACACGGTCGTCAACGTGTTAATGCACTAACAACCAAATCTCATTTCACTGTATGACTCATTGCAGCTGGTTCTATCACTTCATATTCCTCAATGAATCCACTGAGATCCTTCATATAATCACAAACCCATTTTTCCGATAATTTTCGATTTCACGAACGTTGTAAAGTGAACACTTTTAGCTTGATTGTTTGTTGGACATTGACATAAGGTAGAAAAGATAATAACCACAGCGAAGACGGCCATTGTCAGCTGTGTCGCTGCTTCGGACGCCTCATAAGAAAGAGGAAAAAGTATTGCTAATTGAGGTAAATTTGTTTCTCTTGAGTGACGAATATGTGCAGTTGAATCATTTCATATGATCATGTGCGTTATTGCACACATATCCACCTTTGGCGTCCCCATCCTGGATTCACAATCGAAGAAACGTAAGAAACTGACCAATTGTTATCCCTCGCATTAGTTTGTGGAGATTGGTACTTAGAATGTGAGGAAAAAATGATAAAAACACCTGAACACTTACTGCCTACTCCTAGAATCCAGGATGGGGACGCCAAAGGTGGACATTGCGTGCACTAACACACACGATCATATGAAATGGTTCGACTGTAGCATCCAGGCGCACGGCTTAGATTTTGTCACATCATTACTCTTGAACCGAAACCATGAGATGTAGGAATCACCATACCTCTTGTGTCGGTTCAAGATGTATAATTCGTTCCTCACTAATCTTCACTGTTCTCTATTAGCTCTTCTGTATCTCAACATCTAGCTGCTCATATTCTCCTACTCTCTGTATTTGCACCTCAGTTTCTTGTAGTTTGTCCTTTTGTGACAAACCATCTAAATTCTTACGAGTCGTCCAGCTAATTCAATGGAACCTGCGGTCTGGACCGTCCTACCGCCACTAATTTTCATTTTTCATGTTGAATTACCTATTATCAAAGCAGCTGCAATAATGTATTTTGACTTCCATAAATGATTTGTTCAGTATCGGCAGTCATGAACGATTTTGTAGCTCTTTCGTGAGTGTGCGATTGCTATGAAATGTTATCGAACATGGTCATGCCTATCAGAGCCTTTGCGGCTTCTGAGGTCAGTTTGAGGCCAAGCAACTGGGTATATTATAAAAGTTAGAGCTCAGTACTGGTATACGGTCTGCAAGCAGTTATCAGCTGTTTTAGATAAGCACTGGTTTAATTCTGCATTTACTTTCGTAGCTCTCGGTTTACTGACGCATTGGATGTCTTTTTTGAGTCCCGATGCGGCTTTTGATGAGATAGATTACTCATGCATTCGACGATTTCAGACTTTGAAGAAGGCGATTTTGCCGAAACGTCAGTTGAATAAAGCAATTACTAATCTCGGTGTGAAGCTCAAGCAGTTTTTAAAGCAATTCTCCTTTTGTATTCTTCTTCTATGTATATACCTGCAGCAACTGCTGAATCTTGAGATTGAAAAGTCGTAACATTCACCATTTCATTTAACTTCTCAAAAACGATTTTTATAGCAAGTAGAAAAAAGATGATGTTTATGGATATTTAGAAGTTAGTAGAGCGTAAAGTGTTGGTCCCGAGCTACTATAGCGCTTAGACCCAGCAAATCCTGCAGGGTCGACAACTAGGAAGATGATCTTGCGAATCGCACTAGTTTTTTTTTGACGACGATGAGCACTGAGTTTTTCTTTTTAGCCATATTATGCCTGTAATTCTATAATCCCATCCCATAACTGTGATTTTTCTAATTCCCATGATTTTCTCCGTAGAGCGCAAAAACTTCTAAATTCAATGCGGTTTAGTAGGTTTAGTACTTATGTGCAAAAACTCAACTCCAAAATTATCAGAGTAATCGTTATCGTGGAGCGTGATGCCGCACTTCATGCACTTGGAGAATCACAGAAATTGAAAAAATCGTGGGGAAACTGCTGTTGAGATAGCTTGTAATTTTCCTTATATTGAAGCAAAGGACCGTTTTATTGTGGAACTGTTTTATAAAGCAATGATTATAAAATCTTCCCTAGAATCAGAGTTTATCGAGGAATTGCATGCGTGATACAAATGCAAGTGTTTTGTTTTATATACCGAAGGTTCCAGTAATACGGGAAACTTGCATATATGTCAGTCTCGTCGGTCTTACATGGATCGGGTAGAACAGCTTTAGCAATAGCGCATATGATCGCTCCGATCCGATTCTATAAAGCAATTTCTCTGTAATAAGCCTGAGAAAAAACGTTCGATCAAAAGCAGTTTTCGATCTTGGTAAAAGTGAATTGTTACCTTTACTTTCAGACTTACCGAGAATTGATTTTATCCCTCTTTTATAGTTTGATCCTTCGAGATATTGGGAAAGCTCACGACAAAGTCCGGGTTTCGAAGTCATAGCGGACACATCTCTTGAAATCCTGAAAAGATATTTTTTAAATATGGAAATTTTTTGCTGATAAATAAACATCTCACTTATTCACTTGCGATATTCCCTTAAGTCGTTTTTTAAACCATATGTTATCTGAAAAAAAAAAAACGCTGTTGGATTTGTATCTTGATAGTGAAGAGGGTAACTAGTTTTTTTTCCAAGAGGCTGTTATCTTAATAAGATCAAATATTGCAGAATTAGGCGGCAGGGAAATCAATCTCTCATCCTACCTTCTGGATGAATTTAAACGCTTCCTTGCTTAGCCGGAACTCAGCATAGGTGATTGCATTAACTTTCTTCGTCAACTCACGGTTCATGCCGAGGACACGACCAATCTGCAAAATTATCGTAAATACTCGATTCAAATCACGAATTTTTAGCAAAAAAATCACAGAAATTTGAAAAAACTTTAACACGTTTCGGACCGGTTCTGCACATGGTGCAACACGCTGCTTTGAAGGATTTTTTGACGTTTACAGAAAGTTTTCTTTTAGTCCAAGGTTATCAAGTCAAAGGCCTAAGCTTCTACTTTTCAACTGACTCTGTACAGTGTGCCCTCAATACTCGTTTAGGAGATATGAGCACAAATCGAGCATCAGTTGCAACGAAGCGCGGCAACGCGAACGACGCGTGCGACGTCGCAATGTTTCTTTGCTTCGATATCAAAGAGAATAACCGTAGTTTCAACACCGATGTGTACCGTTTACAACATAGATACTTTTGGATACTACTAGAGACTGAGTTCTTGTTCCTATCTTTCAGGAAAGCACAGAAGTCCTTCTCAAGCGACAAAATTTAAACACCTCGAATTCACTCAGAACTTTGTGTACGGGACTTATCTGACATGCTGATTACAGATGTAGCACATAGCCTTCGAAATAAGCTCCCATGTTGGCTAACTGCTGAAAGTGCACTCTTTTGCGTCGCGCGCGACTTCGCGGTCCGAAACGTGTTAAAAAGCTGTGGAGAGACTACATAAGCATAAGTTCCAATCATACAATTGATGCATTCACTTCCTTAACAATCAATCCTAACCCGTGGGTATCCTCCTTCAGGTCCTTCGAGTAGGCGAGCTGAGTCTATTAGCATATAATCTTCCAGGCTGATTCCAAGGAATTCTCTGTATAATCGTGGAGCCACGGTCCTAGAGGAAAAATTTTCAAACCTATCAATTGTTATCCGTAGAAATCTTTGAGACTTACTTCTTTCCAGTTCGTTCTCTTTTTGACTTTTTTTCGATCGGCCATCGACATGAGTTAGGGAAGAGACTAAGATGGTTGCAATAGAGACGTAAACTTTTAAATTCATTGCATCTCTCAACACCATATGGAAATACCATTTTTATATGCTGGCTAGCGAGGAGGGTCTTGAGATATGACAGAAGATTGTTTTTTCTATAAGAGTGCATAGTTGAGTGCTTTATGCATAGCGCTGCATTAGATACTTTCAGAAGCATCAAGTAACGTTTAAATGAAGATTACGAAAGGAAAAACGTGGCAACACATTTCTAAAGACTTCAAGCTACTCGATTGATTTCAGAATGTAAAAGCCAACGTGAACGCAAAAACAGTATTATGAAAGGGTGGAAACATGGGAAGGCCGTATCTTCATCTTGTATCTTATAAACCGTGGAAATCTCCCTCAAACCGTCGGCAAATGAGCGGTCCTGGAAGATGCGCGTTGTTCAATTTTCGCACTCCGCTCGCAGGTTGTCAGGAAACCAAAGAGGCGCAACCGTGCCGCATGTTAATTTCCCTGATTTTTTGTAGATATATCGCCGCTTTTATGAAAGAATAAAAAACTGAGCCCTACAAAAGGTCGTGATCAGTCCTTTGAATTTTCGGAGCGGAGTGCAAAGATTCTATTTATTCGGTATCCGTACCGCAACAACTGTCTGAATTCATGTTCTCTGCGCTTTTGAAGGCATCATCACAATTCTTGACTTACATGTTTTTGCCCTTCTGGAGCCTTCTCATGTCCCTAATTCCGAATATGAAGTCGAGAATTAATGAAAACCTCAACAATGCCCATTCCGGAAAACCCGCAGGGCGAACATCCCGAACCGTGGTTAAATGGGCGAGCACGGATCACCAGGCATTACTGGAAAGGGTCGATCCCGCCTAGGCCTTGGGCCAGCGCTCGCTGAAAGAAATTGGCTTGTAGTAAACCCCTCTTCAGGGGATCTGCCCTGAGACGGACCTGAGTTAATCGCATGGCGCCTCCGTCTAGCATCCCGCGAGCTATTGATCTAGATGCGGATCGCTTTTCAGGCATAAAAATCTTGCGCGCTAATAAAGAGGAAACACCTACACCTCTTGTGCAGGTTTGGTCAAACAGGTATGTGACTGGTACTCAGCACGCACGACTGTGGTTCGGCGCCGGACAGTGGCGAATTTTTGCGCATCACTGAGCAATCTTTGATAGCGATCAATATCGAAGAGAATCGATGACTGCCGCTATCAAGTAATCCACAAATCAAATGAATGCACAAAACAAAACTGCGTTTTTTTGACCAAAATTTCATCAAAAATTAAGGAAGTAGGGACCAAATCGAATGGAAATAAATAAAGAAATTGTCGCTCTGAGTAGCTTTTATGAAAAAAACCTAAGCAAACTCTGTAAAAAGGAAAAAACCTATTTTTCTGCTTTTGTCGAAATCAGCCGTTCATTGATCCTTTCCTTTTTGGGCACCGGTATTGTGCAGTTTTGCGCGTTCTTGTACTGCAACAATACGTCAAGTACGATGTCCCGTAAGTTACTCACGAGCAACTTACGAGATTTTTCTCTGCGTCTCATCTCTTGCACACTATTTCGGTCAATTCATCTCAAAATCGAGGCTGCTCTTACGGATTTCAGGTGAATTAATCGCGGCACATGCCCTGACGCTAACCCTTCCTATCAGGTCGCAGTTCTAAGCATGTGGAAGTGACCGCAAGTCAGTTTATCTAGAATACCTCAACTCAGCCCCTCAGTTGAGATCATCTGAAGTGAAGTGGGTTTACTACGGGCCATTATTTGACGAGAGCTTGCAGAAAATTCTGCACTGCTGCCCGCTGGCAAAACACGGAAGTGCCGCCCGTTGAAGGTTTGGCCGCGCCCCAAAATTTTGCTGACCGCTTGCAGAAAAGCGCTAGTTTGCGGACCGCCTGCCTCCGGCGATTATCTGAGTGCCTATGCCCAAATTCGCCCTTGTACAAGTCCTCTCGCAACATCTCAGCCGCGCCGCTCGTGGTCCACAACGCTGGAGTAGTCAGTGCAATAAACAAATCGACGATATGTGTGCAAGCTTGGTCACTTATCCCACTCTTTACATGACAAAACGGCCGCTCTATCACTGCATCCATATTACAGCGAGGGCTATGTTCAAATAGTAAAAACGCAGATAATAAAAAAAACTGCTGAGCATTTGCATTTCGTTTGATGTGTTCTCGTTCAAAAACGAACTCACAAAATTAGGCTCACTGATCAGAACACCACGAATTTATTCACATTCACCTGTATCACCTGGATCCCCGTTGATCGTCGCTTGACACGAGCGGGATCCAGTTACGCCTTCATTCGCCCTGTCGCGAGCGATCGTTGACCAATGTTTTCTCATCGCACCAGGTACACGAGGAACGTCTGAAGGACTAAAGGCTTTAAAGGACTTTGTGAACATGCCCGACCATCGAGTCGGCGGTCTTCCTGTTCCGCGTTTGACGCTCGGCGGTGTCCAATCTGTTACAGCTCTGGTCCACCGATTATCGTCAAAACGCATCACGTGTCCGGCCCATCTGATTTTATTCTGTTCGGCGTATGCGGCAGCATCCCTGATTTTCGATCGTTGACGTAAGGTGGAGCTTCGTATTCCTTCCCTCACTTGCGCGAGTCGGGACGCTCCTGACATCGCTCTCTCAACAGCGCGTTTGATGACGCTCACCGCATGTTCGTCCTGCTTCCTCATGGTCCACGTTTCCAGCTTCGTATTCCTTCCCTCACTTGCGCGAGTCGGGACGCTCCTGACATCGCTCTCTCAACAGCGCGTTTGATGACGCTCACCGCATGTTCGTCCTGCTTCCTCATGGTCCACGTTTCCGAAGCGTACGTCAAAGCAGGCAGAATCGTCGTGTTGAAGAGATGGGCGCGAAGCCGCAAGAATGTTTGGTCTTCTTCACTGCGCCCTCAATTGCCTTGTATGCTCCCCATGCTGCTCGTTTCCTCCTGCTCAGTTCCGGGGCTAGATCGTTCATCATGTTGACTTCCCGACTTAGGTAGACGTAGCTAGAGCATTCGGCAATCGTCATTCCTTTCAGCGTAAAAGGAGCATCAGGAACCCATCCGTTTCTCATGAACATCGTCTTCGTCAAATTTAGCTGCAGACCGATCTTTCCACACACGTCATCAAATTGGGCCAGCATTCTTCCGCTTGCGTGATGTCCGGTGTAACTAGGACTATGTCATCGGCGAAGCGAAGGTGGTGTTTGTGCCGGCCGTCGACTTTCACACCCATGGCATCCCATAGTGTCCGCATGACGTTTTCGAGAGCAGCGCTGAAATGTTTCGGCGATATGGTATCGCCTTGTCATACTCCTCTCTTCACGTCGATGGTGATGTCCTAGTAGAATGGTGTGATCTTGGTTGTGAAGTCGTTGTACAGCTCACGAATCATTTTGATGTACTGAGTTGGAATACCTTGACTGCTCAAGGCATCGATGACAGCCTCAGTCTCAACCGAATCGAATGCCTTCTTCAAGTCGATTGAGACAGAACGGCATCCTATATTCTCGCGATACTTCGATGAGCCTTGTTATCGTGTGTATGTGGTCCATAGTGCTAAATCCTTTCCGGAACCCAACTTGCTCGCATGGTTATCTCTCGTCTAATTCTCTTCCGATCCTGTTAAGAAGTACTCGTGTGAAGAGTTTGTAGACTGTAGACAACAAGCAGATAGGGCGATAATTTCCGATGTCGCGGGGGTCTCTCTTCTTGTACAGCAACACGGTCTTGCTGGTCTTCCATTGACTTGAAATCGTGCCCTCCGTCAGGTACCGCGTGAAGATCCTCGCAATAGTTCTAATAAGAACTGGTGGGAGATTCTTCAGGTGTTCCGATTTGATTCCTGTCGGGCCCTGCTGCTGTACGGCTTTTCATTGACATGATAGCATGTCGAACCTCTGAAGGAAGGAAGTGATGGTGCAACATAGCCGTCCTTCTTGAGATGGCATGGTGGTAAGTGGACGTGACTCGCAAAGAGATCCGAGTAAAATTCGTTGATGACTTTCTCATCGACCTTCGGGAATATGTCGTGGTTCCATCAAAGCGGTGGAGTGCGGTCATCTTGGTTTGAAATTGACGATGCTTCGGGGCGTTGCGTATACTTCTTCCGGCCTTCGCGGCGTCAACCATAACTTGTGCTCTTTCTCTCTTTGAATCTTCTTTTATCGCTTCTCTGAATTTCTTTGCGAGCTTAGACGTAAGTTGGTAATTGCCTGAAGCTCGTGCTCGTCCACGTTGGCGTATTAGCTCTAGAGTCTCCGTTGACAGGCGCTTCCTGGTAGTTTTTGAGCTCTCAGCTTCCTTAGCACAATCGTCGATGCTGAATAAATCTTTCACATTCCTCGTCGATGCTGTCGATCACGGTATCTCGCCAAAAGCCGGATATGGAAGAAAACAGGTCCCAGTTGATGATAGTTGTGGGACGGTGTTTCCTGAACTTGATAGCTCTTTCTCCATTCCGTGAGAAGTAGAACTTGGCACGAAGGGGACGATGGTCCGATCCCGTGTAGAATTTCGGAACAACAGCGACGTCGGTCAGACAATACCTTCTATTGACAATGATGTGATCAGTCTCATTATGGTACTCTCCACCGGGCGATTCCCAGGTCCAGCGTAGGGAAGGGGGCTTTTGAAACTGAGAGTTTCCATGGATGGTCCTCGTCATTATGATGAACACGGATAGTCTCTCCCCTTGTTCGTTCCAGTGTAGTCCATGGGTCCCGAGGTGAAGTTCCGCAAACGACCTTCTTGCTCCGATCTTTGCGTTGAAGTCACCGACGATGACCTTGTAGAAGGCGTGCTCTTCTCTGTAGAACTTCTTTAAGTCCATGTAAAAGGCCTCGACTTCATCTTCATTTATTTACATTAAATGGTCTTCACCTGTCATCATTGACTGACATGGCATATATGGTCATTCTTCTTGTTTCTTTTTGCTAAATGTCCTCTCAAAGAGATCAAACACTCATTTTCCTTTTTACTGCATTTAACGAAAATTGAGACAAATACGAAGTCATTCTAAAGAATAAATGTGATATATAACTTTGCGAAACGGTCCGTGTGCTAGAATTCAAACTCTTCCAACCA